TCGTTAAGCTTTCTGTAGTCACAGCATAACCTTTTGCTGCCATTCTTTTTTCCTACCAACACTACTGGTGATGCGTACTCCGATGTACTTGGCTTTATAATCTTCTGAGCCAACCACTCTTCCACTTGCTTATCTACGATTTTTTGCTCACACATCGCTAAACGTCTTGGATGCTGAAAAACTGGAATCTCATCCGCTAATATGATTTTCATTTTGACAGGTGCATCAACATTCCTCTGAGGCTGGTACTCTTTGACCATACTCATAACTGATCTGGCATCTGACTCACTGAGATGCGATACGTCCACTGAGAACTCCTTCTCAACTTCATCAATACTTGACATGCAAATGCCTCCAAACTCATCAAACAATTCCTCACATGACGACGATTCTACATTATTTGGTTTCTGATCTTTTTCCTCAATAAAAACTCTACGAACAAACTTTGTTCCTGCCTTAGAAACTTGCATATCAACATGATCAAGAATAGTCCTTCCTAAAATGGCTTCAAAACCAATATCCTCGTCAGGTATGACATGAAATTCTACCTCCATTTCAATCTCATCCACTTTCACTGGTATCGAAAAGCTACCGAAAGTCACAACTTGACTATCTCCAATACCTGTTAAACATTTCTCGCGGCCGATCAGTTTAACATTTCCGAATTTCAAGAATACACCTCTACGAATTAAACAAAAATCTGCTCCCGTGTCAATTAAACCTTGGAATACAAATGTAGCATACTTTACATTCTTTAATTCCAAACCTGATGGAGTGAAAATACCTGTCGGCTTAGCAACGACTTCCTTATCTCGAATAATTTTCGTATTCATCCTCCTTTCTTGTCCGGTTTCGACCTTAACTTCACAATTAGCAGCACGGTGCCCTGGCTTACCACACTTAAAACAACAAAAATCATTTTTGGGACAGTCTTTCCTTAAATGCGATTTTTCCCCACACTTAAAGCATTTCTTGAAATTCTCTGCTATCGAATCTTTCGTCGAACTCTCAATTTTGATACCCTGCAACCAATTCTTGCTTACTGGCTTGGATCCGCCTCTTGATTTCTGGTATACGTCAATCTGAAATTTAAGCTCCTTTATGTTTCTAGCTTGGTACAGCATTGCCTTATTTGTCCTTGCGTCTGGGATACCATCCACAAAATATTCGATCAAGCTAGAATCATCTAGTTTAATTGGCTTGGCTATCTCCATTAACGCGTACAAAAACTCATGCAACGACTCTCCCTTTTTCTGCTGACGCTTCTGCAACATCCTATGTACTTCCACTGACGATAGTTTTACACTAAACTCTTCCAACAGAGCTGCCTTCAACGAACTCCAATCACGAATATCACGCAAACTACGAGAAAACGATTTTGCGGCACCAGCCAACAACTGCTTGGCATATATGAATATTTGTAATTGACTCCACTGAACAGTAGATGCGCATTCCTCCAATTCCTCTATCCATTGATTAATGTCGGGGTTATTAGAACCAGAAAATTGTGACACGCTACCTTCCACGTCTTTCAGCGTAAACCATGATCTATTCTCTAACTGTCGTGCACCTCGTTGGACTGCCACGGTATCGTCGATTGCTGTAACTACAGACTCATCATCTGAACCTTCATTTTCATCTTCCTCAACTTGGTAACCGAAATGAACTAACAGTCTATCTTGCAAATCGCGTTTCCGACCCGTCGTCTGTAACGCAAGCTCCCTCAACTTAACTCGCAAATCTGCGACTCTCAGTGTCATAATCTCTTCAACTTGCATCGTGACGATTTAAATACAATTTGATTAATATTAGCTTATATCTAAGAAATTTAGTTACATCAAACAATATAAATCAAACGATATAAATCAAACAATTAAGGTCTTAACGTTGGCCTGTTAACAATCTTCTATGTAAACACAGCTTCTGATTTCGCCTTTACAGCCTCTGTTAACGATCGCTTCTCTGTTAACACTCACCTCCCCTTACTAGGTCTTTACCCTTGTTTCGCTCGTAGAACTTTCCAGACTCCAAATACGACGCACACACACTACCACATCCAGATCTCGCTTGACTGTCGATGTTGCTTTGGTCGTCCTCTCTTTGTTGCCTTGCTTCTGCTCACGAATACAAGCGCGCTCGGATGGTCGTCTCTTCGCCGCTTGCCTTGCTTCGCTGTTCGTTGTTCGTCGTTGCTTATGCTCACGAATACAAGCGCGCTCGGATGGTCGTCTCTTTGCCGCTTGCCTTTCGTAGCTCACGCCTCTCCTAGCGCTCAACCCGTCTTTGTCCTCCCCTCGTCGCTTGTCCCTCCGTTGGAACGAACCCTCAGATTGCTCTGTGCCGCTTGTCTCCCTGTAGCTCTAGCGTCCTCTTCCGTTTCTCGTCGCTTTGTCGCTTCTGCTTTCGTTGGAACGAACGCGCTCAGATTGTCGTCTCTGTGCCGCTTGTCTCCCTGTAGCTCTAGCGTCCTTTGCTGTCTCACGTCGCTTTGTCGCTTCTGCTCTCGTTGGAACGAACGCGCTCAGATTGTCGTCTCTGTGCCGCTTGTCTCCCTGTAGCTCTAGCGTCCTCTGCCGTTTCTCGTCGCTTTGTCGCTTCTCGTGCCCTTGAACATCTGCATACACTCTTGCGTTTTTCTTTCCGACAATTGTGGTGTTGTCTCTCTCGCACTTGTACGCCAGACTCCGCTTCAATTTCGCACAGCGACCGATTTCCAGTGCACACAGTCTCGTGTTCGCCAAATTGCTCCAAAAACACACACAAACCACAGATTTAGATGTAGTCTTGGGCTTATATCTCGGACGAGCCCCCAATTTGTAGATAGTTTGTTTGCTTAATGGCAATTTATTTATAAGTATGGATGTTGAACTTATTATATATATTTCTTAGCTCCAAGTACAATTTGTGGTACAGTTATGTTCTTAACTTATGTGTGTGATTTTCGTACGATGCGTGGCTGAATTACGACTGACTGTCTCTGACTCTCGACTTCGACTGATCTCCTTCTTTGCTCTCGGCTCTCTCAGAGCCGAAGGCTGCCTATACAGACGACGCGACGAAACTACGGCCACTTCGGGTCTCTCTCGGTCCTCCATAACCATAACATAACTCCATAACATGTATATACTGACTGAGTACGGGTATAAGTAGAGTCGCGTCCCCAGAACCGACTCACACGTTCCTTTTCGTTTTTTCTGTTATTACGGTATTTTATTTATTGAATCTTTTAATACATTTATTTAATTAATTACACTTAATTAGTTAGAGTATGGCCCTAGCTAAGTATTATTTCTTCGCCGGAGTCGTGTATGGCTAGTGTACCTTGGCAATTTCATCTTTAACTGATCCTACATTAAAGTCTTTATGGATATTTTCATTCCGTATGTACCATGTTGCCCCAGTGTTAGTTCTTAGTATCTTCGATTGAGCTCTCTGGATAATTTCTAAATTACTAACGCAAGCATTTCCCCATAGCTCGGAGCCGTATGTCCAGATGGTTTTGAGAACTGCATTGTACAAAAGTAATTTGTACTATTATTATTATTTATTTATTATTATGCTAACCAAGCTTTGCGCAGAAGATCCAAAAAGCCTGGTATAAGCATGTTGGTAGGGGAACAATCGCTTATAAACTCTACTCTTCAGAGAAGTAATAAGATATTTCCATTTAAGATTTTTTAAAGTTTTAATATGGGGACAAATTCTGACAGTGACTTAAGATTTTTTAAAGTTTTAATATGGGGACAAATTCTGACAGTGACTTAAAAAAAGATTAAAGAAGAAGAGCTGCAGAAGGAAAAAGATACAAAATGAAAATTGCAAGTCATTCAACAAGTGCTGGAAGCCAGAATGAGAATGTCAATGATATGGTAGCTATCAAGGGTACACAATTTGGGGTCGCATTGAAGTTGAAGGGAAAATTCGTAGGTCCTTATATTGTGACGCGTACAATACTCTACACAAATACTACAAATAAAGATTGTAACTAATGGATTCGAAGGCCTAATTTACGGAGCTTATGGAGCGGATTAATACTCTCTTTTAGGGGACTCACCAAAAAGTTCTATATATATAGGACATTTAGTTCCACAGGGCATGCTTGTGTGAGGCGTCTGGAAATTTCCCTCATCAGAATCTAATTCGCACAAATATATTTAAACAGTTTTTTACTGTGCAAAAATGATTCTGTCATTTCTAAAATATTGAATCTCTCCTTTAGTCCCCTTTGAAGCTGTACTTACCTCGTCCAAGTTGATGTCGAATTTTATCTAACATTTAAATGCATACAAAACTTCATTCAACACGCAGTGTATGAAAAGAAACACGAAATGGAAACTTGTTGGAATCCATTCCCTGTTACTCCTTCAAAGCAGTTGCCATTACAGTTCCCCCCCGCCCCATTTTTTTTTTAATACATTACGAAGATCGTCGATTTTCTCGACGTAGATACTGCCGAATAGTCATATTAGAAGATACAATTTTGTTGGTCGTCTAGGGTATATTGAATTCGCCATGTCAAAGTTAGCTTCCTCTCTGGATTTTGTTACATCTTGTATGTGTACCTTCTTTTTGTAGAGCACACGGGTATATCGTGATCGTGGAAAGTGTATAACGACCAAAAATAAGGGTTTTCCAGACCATAAAGTATGTATTCTCTATCTATTAAAATATATGTACATCCAGATCAATGCAGACATGAATTTCTAAATTATAAATTAGTCATCGCTTTGCGCATCTAAAATTCAATCAGTTTGTACCCAAAAAAAAAGAGTATACAAAAAAAAAATAAATCTGCATATTGGGTATGCTATGGTCAGAATAATCGACTACCGCGTACTATTTGTATTGTGTTTACTGAATTGCATCCGCATACATATATGTATTTTTGTGTATGTATTAGTATGCATACGTTTTCCTGTAGTTTATACTTCAATTTGTGTTATACAGGCACTTTGATTTATCAAGTATCACCACAGCTGAATTTTAATGAGGACCGGTAACCCAGAAGAACCGGAATGATACTCGTATTGTGAAGACGACTTGTATTTTTTTGTTTTTATATGTGCCGTGCCTTCTTTCAAGATATACTTCCATAAATGTTTTGAATTAGAGTTGCAAATAAAGACTGAAATTTATTCAAAATACAGATACCAAAAATTTCAGTGGTATAAAAGTAGGAGGCTCCAATAGTTTTCTTAAGCTTGAGCATCAACACGCAGGATTTAATCGCCATTACTACACTAAATATAAATTCTAGAAATAATTCAAACTTGCGTTTAATAGTTGTTGTATAATTTCTTCAGCTGTTTTTGCATAATGTGAATAGTATTTTATATTTTTAGAAAACAATGGACCAGATATCAGTATATTCTATGTTTTTGAAAACACATATAACATATCTTGTGAGATGCTTGGACCCAAAAAGTATACTATATGTGTGCATAGTTGTTTTAGTAACTCTATGGTTTTACTGGCTGTTTTTTGTACCTTTTGTGTGGAAGAAGGTATGTATATGTATTTTTAAATAATTATAAAATCGTGCATGCTAAGGCAAAACAATTCGAAAAGTTGTAATGGAGGCAGATTTGCTGCAACACTACAAAAAAATACTACAACACCCGCTAAAAATATATTACTATATTACTGATTATAACACTAGTCGACAAAATCCAATTATTTTTTTCTCAAGGATCCAAACCAACTTTTTTTAATAGATATGGGACTTTAAATTTGTTTAAAGAATTATGTTTTTTTTTCTATGTCAGAAATTTTTTTTGTGGAAATTTTGAATTCTGTTATTTTTTTGTATAGTTTTTTTCAGAGGTACAACCCTTTTTCGTTTGCTTTGTTCCCAATTGACAGTTGGGCCCGAACCTTCGAAAAGGTATTTTTTGTTAATTTTTTTAATTTTTTAGGTTTTGTTAATGAATTTTAACTCCAAAGTCTCTCCAAAGATTTTAATGAGCGATACCTTAAACGACGCCTAATTAATGCACCTATACACAAAAAAATAGAGAACACAGAATATTTTTTTTTGAATTTTCCCGAGTTTTTAAAGTCAAAATTTCGTAAAAAATACCACACAAAAATCATTATTTTTGCATTTCAATGCTTTATATTTCCCAGACGGTAAGCTAAAATCACAAAGTGTTTGTAGCTGTTTTAATTTTCTTTTCAAAATAGCAAAGTTCTTAACAACCAGACGTGCGATATTGGAGTTACGTGAAAAAAAGAAGCGCTACCTCTGAAAAAAGCTTTAAAAAAAATACCAGATTAAAAAAATTCTTAAAAAAAAAAGGGAAACAAAATTATTATCAAACCCTTTCTCAGCCCTAAGTCTTTAAGAAAAAGTTGGTTTTGTTCGTTGAGGAAAACTCGTGTCGAGTAGTGTAATCAGTCTCTTAATAAAAAACGTCTGGGAACGTTGTCGTGATATTCATTCAGTATTTAACCTATATTTTTTTTATTACTATTATTATTTTATACGTAAGCGCTGAAATTGGAGTAGAAGTCGATAACGGCTGTATGCTTGCATTTCTCTATCTCTGCCGTTTGTTACGCTGTTCGGAAAGGATTGATTTGTTGGTTAATGCATTGAGACGGGGATCTTCAAGTGCAATCTGTCCACTACCTGTGCTCGTTTAGTTAGCGTATTTTTGTGTTTTAATTTCATATTTATAGTCAATCGCTCTTTTTCATTTCTTCCATGCATTCGTATTCACAGCTTTGTTGTTGTTGACGTTTGCTCGATGCACTCTCTCTGAGCCGCTCTCTACTCGGTTCTATCTCCGTTCTTACCGTTTCTTCATACATACTTGCACTGACGCTCTCTGTTCGTCGCCTCTCCGTGCCTGCCTAAAGCTTTGTGTTTATCTCGTTTCTCTGTGCTTAAGCTTTGATTACTTGTTGTTGTTTTTGCGATCTTTATTATTGTTTGTGCGTTTATCTGAGTGTTCAAGCGTGTGAGACAGCTTTACCATAAACACCGACTTGATTGCTACCTTTTCCCCATCTATTTTTATTTTTCTCTCGGTCTACACTCTTATAACGAGTACTTGCTGGGCCAAAAAGTGCCGCTCGGTAGCCGTAAAGCAAATATTCACCTACGGCTGGCTGTGTGACAACATGGCACATACGGTATGCGCTGACCTCGGCCAAATTGGTGGCGACAAACTCATAATGAATTCGCGGCCGTCAACTCTGGATTCCGCCTGTTACAGGAAAAGTTTCTATCTATGGAGAAAAACTCAGGAAAAGTCGAAAAAAAATTATATTCTGTGTCTGAATTTTAACTCCAAAGTCTCTCCAAAGATTTTAATGAGCGATACCTTAAACGACGCCTAATTAATGCACCTATACACAAAAAAATAGAGAACACAGAATATTTTTTTTTGAATTTTCCCGAGTTTTTAAAGTCAAAATTTCGTAAAAAATACCGCACAAAAATCATCATTTTTGCATTTCAATGCTTTATATTTCCCAGACGGTAAGCTGTAATCACAAAGTGTTTGGGCTTAACTTCTAGCTGTTTTAATTATCTTTTCAAAATAGCAAAGTTCTTTACAACCATACGTAAGATACTAGAGCTATGTGAAAAAAACAAGCGCTACCTCTGAAAAAAGCATAAAAAAAAAATACCAGTTTTCAAAAATTATTCAAAAAAAAGTTCTGCCATAGAAAAAAAAAAAATTATCATCAAACCATTTCTAAGCCCCAAATCTTTAAGAAAAAGTTCGTTTTGTTCCTTGAGGAAAAATCGTGTTGACTAGTGTTACCGTGGGATCTCCAATTTATCTGCCATTCCCAAACTCTTCGAAAAAATAATTACTTCCCAGCTCCAACACTTTTGTTGTTCCTTATTCTTTGAATCGCAGCATAGATTTGTAAAACATCGGTCTATTTCGTCCAACCTCCTGGAATTCTCCACTTTCGTGCATGAGGGTTTCGCTAAGCAGTCGCAAACTGACGTAGTCTATACTGACTTTAGTAAAGCCTTTGATTCAGTGAATCATAATCTGCTTATTCATAAATTATCTCTCCTAGGGTTTCCGCCTAAACTTCTTTTCTGGTTTAATGCATACCTTTGTAGACGATCTCACCGTGTCTGTTTTAATAACTCTCTTTCTAAGCCTGTTTCTGTATCGGCGGGGGTACCTCCAGGTAGGCATCTTGGCCCTCTGTTGTTTAATTTGTTCATCAATGATCTTCCCCAAGTCTTAACTCATTCCCGAGTACTTATGTATGCGGACGATGTGAAGTTATGTTTCTCCTATAGCGACCCCATGTCCCCGTTATGTCTCCAATCTGATCTTGACGCCCTCAACAACTGATGCTTAATAAACTTTCTTCCCCTTAACATTTCCAAATGTAACATCATGACATTCCATCGCAGCAAGCCTTACCTCTTTGACTATAATATCCATAACTGTTCCTTAAACCGCCTTTACAAAAGTACTGACTTGGGAATTTTCTTTGTACCTAATCTGTGTTATAGCTCACACATATCCGCTATTTCGAATAAAGCCAGAGGCGTCCTGGGCTTTATCAATAGATGGTTTAAGGAGTTCACCGACCCCTATACCACTAAACTTTTATATGTATCCCTTGTCCCTTTTACTTGAATACGGTTCTGCGTTTGGTCACCGCCTTATCAAAAATATCAGGATATGATTGAGTCCGTTCAAAAACAGTTTATCCTTTTTGCACTTCGTGGCCTTAATTGGGACCCCTCTAGACATCTTCCTTCATATGAGAGTAGGCTCCGGCTCCTCGATATCCGCTCTCTTGAAAGCCGTAGGATTTGCCATGGAGTGCTTTTTCTTCACAAACTTCTTGCTGGTGAGGTTGATTCCACTGCCCTCAGTAGCCTTATTCTTAATTCTTCTTATTCTTATCTTAACTTAATAGGCTATAGGCTATTTCCTGACCACAACTTGCTGTGAGCTGGACCATAGCGGCTATTTTGCCAATAAATTGGTCCTATTGGGTCAGGATAATATCCATAGTCTGATAACACTAGTCAACACGATTTTTCCTCAAGGAACAAAACGAACTTTTTCTTAAAGATTTGGGGCTTAGAAATGGTTTGATGATATTTTTTTTTTTTCTATGGCAGAACTTTTTTTTAAAGAATTTTTGAAAACTGGTATTTTTTTTTAAAGCTTTTTTCAGAGGTAACGCTTGTTTTTCACATAACTCTAGTATCTTACGTCTGGTTGTAAAGAACTTTGCTATTTTGAAAAGATAATTGCGCAGCTCGAAGTTGATGTCAAACACTTTGTGATTTCAGCTTACCGTCTGGGAAATATAAAGCATTGAAATGCAAAAATGATGATTTTTCGTGGGGTATTTTTTACAAATTTTAACTTTAAAAACTAAGGAAAAGTCGAAAAAAAAATTATATCTTGATTTATTTTTTTTTTGTGTATAGGTGCGTTAATTTGGCGTCGTTTAAGGTATCGCTCATTAAAATCTATGGAGAGACTTTGGAGCTAAAATTCGGTAACAAAACCTAAAATATGGAAAAAATGCACAAAAAATACCTTTTTGAAGGCGGCGGGCCCAACTGCCAATTGGGAACAAAGCAAACGAACAAGGGTTGTACATTTGGTACCTGATCGCGTTCCTTTGTTTCCCAATGGGCAGTTGGGCCCGCAACCTTCCAAAAGGTATTTTTTGTTCATTTTTTCCATATTTTAGGTTTGGTTACCGATTTTAGCTCCAAAGTCTCTCCATAGATTTTAATGAGCGATACCTTAAACGACGCCAAATTAACGCACCTATACACAAAAAAATAGAGAACACAGAATATTTTTTTTTGAATTTTCCCGAGTTTTTAAAGTCAAAATTTCGTAAAAAATACCGCACAAAAATCATCATTTTAGCATTTCAATGCTTTATATTTCCCAGACGGTAAGCTGAACTCACAAAGTATTTGGGCCTAACTTCTAGCTGTTTTAATTATCTTTTCAAAATAGCAAAGTTCTTTACAACCAGACGTAAGATACTAGAGTTATGTGAAAAAAACAAGCGTTACCTCTGAAAAAAGCTTTAAAAAAAAATACCAGTTTTCAAAAATTCTTCAAAAAAAAGTTCTGCCATAGAAAAAAAACCATAATTCTTTAAAAAATTTTAAATCCCCATATCTATCAGAAAAAGTCGGTTTGGATCCTTGAGGAAAAAAAAAGTTCGATTTTGTCGAGTAGTGTAATCCATGTTTTTGTCCTTTTCATATTACGTTATAATTTGTTAGTTTAACTGCTCATAGTTGAACCTTATAAAATAAATACAAATACAAATAAAGTATATGGCCGCTTCGATGTTGCCATATTTATCTGTAGAGGAATACATTTTATAAGTTAACTAAATCACAAGATTGCATAAAAAAACTGGGTTAAACAGTGTCCGACAGGCAGGCTGCGGTTTTCACATTTGAAAAAGCTTTCCAATTTTCGTTTTCGCAAAACTCAAAAATTTTCCGCTGTTAATTCGATAACATTTTCCACGCTTAAATAAAAAAAATACTTTTTATACAACAAAACAAATCTTAATGTATAAGAAACAAAAATGGAGCACTCATTAATGCATTGACACAATTACCAGGTCAATTTAGTTTGTGCCCTTTATATAAATAATTTTATTTACCCCAACCTTAAATTTAGCATTAAAATAATAATTACAAAATTTTATTTTTTATTTTTGCTTTAAATTTGCTTGAATAACTAAAAAGAAAAAGTAAGTGACAACCGGAGCAACTTACAACGCCGTCACTAATTTATTAATAGCTTTGAGCACGGTCTTCCTATATTCACTTGAATAAACATAAAGCTTAGATCATATTTAACAATCGCAAAGGAGATGTTTTGCAACAAATGTTTCAAGTTCTACGAGACCATTAGATAGCTATCCTTAATTTGTGCTGCACAAAATCAGAGGGAAATGGATCTCATTCATTTCCGATATCAATTATTCGTATCTATTTTTGCGCCACCGAGGATATTCGACAGAGGCTTTGCTTTATTATTCAATAATGGCAGCTGCCGCTTAGGTACTGGGTCCAGAAAAAGGGCAACTAAGGGCAGATAGCTTTATAAGTGGCAAGAGGTGAAAAGGCGTTTTTAGCAGGCAATGCCATTGAAACAAAGTTCCAAGTTCCAAGTATATATCACAATGTTCCTAGGGCGGTCTAATGGGCCATGTTTCTCCAGAAACTTTGCAGCCGTCTTAATCTAAGGTATGTATTGTGAATGAAATAACACCGAATAAAATTGCTAAATGTGTGCTGCGTTGATACAAATTGGTCGCAATCTATAAATATACTTTATATACCTTTAACGATATTTTACGATATATTTTGTGGGAGTACATTATGAGTACATTATGAGTACAATTGTGAGATATCATTGCCTTAAATTAGAACAACAGTTACGGTGAAAATGTTCATCAAAATTCACTTATATATTGTTTTTGTTTTAGTATTTGGACGATGTAAGTTACTCCAAAGTGTCGACAACAGAAGATTTCTGTCGTAATGATCATAAGCGCGATGCAATAAACCGCATACGAAAAGCAAAAAAAAACAGTTCAAGTGAAATGCCGCCACCATTTCCGAACGGTTGGTATGGTATTCTAGAATCATCGAAACTCCGACCCGGTGAAGCAAAATTTATAGCTTGTTTGGGAGAGAAGCTTGTCGTCTATCGCACACAAAAGCATAAAGTCTTTATTTTGGATGCATATTGTCCCCATTTAGGAGCCAACTTAGGCATTGGTGGACGAGTTGTTGGTGATAACATTGAGTGCCCATTTCACCAATGGAGTTTTCGGGGCAAAGACGGGGGCTGCAATAACATTCCATACAGCACTTCGAGTAAGTATATAATTTATTTAATGCGAGGGTGCATATGATTGAATTTAAGCATTACAGTTCCTCGAGGTACCAATGTTAAAAAATGGATATCCCAGGAAGCTAATGATTTTATATTTATTTGGTACCATGCTGAGTCTACGGATCCTTGGGAGCTTCGTGTACCTATGCAAGCTCAGACGAAAAATGTCGTTTACCATGGACGAAATGAATTTTACATAAATTGTCATATTCAGGAGATACCAGAAAACGGCGCTGATATGGCGCACTTCAGCGCTATTCACAACGAAAGCTTTCTTGCTGGTAGCTTGGCACCCAGTATTAGTGTTCTGGGCCAACTTGGATGTCATAAATGGAATGCAAGGTAACTTGATCATATTTTTAGAGATATTGTTGGATCATGGTGGCGGTACCAGCAGGAGAATTAATATCGAGTTGGTTACAAAATTTCCATGGCTCCATCCGCCTTTACAAAGGACGAAAATCTTTGGCATCAATAATTTTGAAGATACGAGAAAACGAAAAACGCAGAATCGTATAGAATGGTTATATCTGCCAGATTGACAGATCGGATCATTAATATAGTCAGAATGAAGAAATTAATTTGCATCACCTTTCACCGATGCAGCGCTACTCATTCTCTCTCTCGCTCACATACACTCTGCCCCTGTAGTGTGCGACCTCTGGCGGAGAAGTGATGTATCTTTAGATGACAGATGTAACCAAATACATATGTAAACATGTAAACAAATATAAAATATTTTAATATTCGAAATAAAATATAAGCTTATATGCAATCATTAGGAGCGAAGATACAAATTTACGAAAGTAGACCCGTTGATATATGTACATAGCTTAATAGCTAAGGGACCAGCTATCAGATGGCTAGGAATATTAAAATGACTAAGAATGATTCTATTTAAGGGGACAAAGATTCTCGCTTCTGTGTGCAATCCAGATACATAATATGTATTACATATAACCATTTTTCTAATACCCTTTGTAAGGGCTTAGAAATAGAAGACTTTTTCTGCGACAGAGTTAGTTAGTAAAGTTTTTAAAAACAAATTAGAGGATCGTTTTTTAACACTACTCGACAAAATCGAACTTTTTTTTTCCTCAAGGATCCAAATTAAATTTTTTTAAAGAATTATGGTATTTTTTCTATGGCAGAACTTTTTTTTGAAGAATTTTTGAAGTCTGGTATTTTTTTTTAAGCTTTTTTCAGAGGTAGCGCTTGCTTTTTTCACATAACTCTAGTATCTTGGGTCTGGTTGTAAATAACTTTGCTATTTGGAAAAGATAATTAAAACAGCTAAAAGTTAAGCCCAAACACTTTGTGATTTCAGCTTACCATCTGGGAAATATAAAGCATTGAAATGCAAAAATGATGATTTTTGAGCGGTATTTTTTACGAAATTTTTACTTTAAAAACTCGGGAAAAGTCGAAAAAAAAATATCCAGTATCCTCTATTTTTTTGTGTATAGGTGCCATAAATTGGCGTCGTTTAAGGTATCGCTCATTAAAATCTATGGAGAGACTTTGGAGCTAAAATTCGTTAACCAAACCTAAACGAGAAGGAACGTGTGAGTCGCTTCTGGGGACGCGACTCTACTTATACCCGTACTCAGTCAGTATATACATTTTAGAGCTTATGATTTTTAAGAATTTTAGAAAAAAAAAATTTTACATTTTACATTTTTTTGCTACATATGATATCTACATCTACAAATACAATGTATATTATACATCTAACATGTAGATTGTACATGTTCCAATTAGATTCTACATCTCCTCCGCTAGGGGTTGCTCGCGCACTGAACGCGGCAGAATGTGCGAGCGAGAAGGAAAATGAGATGCGTTGTCGTGGGCGGGAGGGGGAGGGGAAGCAACTGAAAATTAATTTCTTCATTCTGGCTATAATTATGATCCGATCTAGTTCATATTTGGCAATCTGGTAGATATGGGCATTCTCTACGATACTGCGTTTTTAGTTTTATCGTATCTTTAAAATTGTGCCTGCCACAGATTTTCGTCCTTTGTGGAGGCGGAAGGGGGCGGCGCGAAATTCTGAAATACACTTGTAGCAGTGTGATATCACATAAGTCTGGAAACCAAATTTGGTTTCGCTAGCTCTTATAGTCTCTGAGATCCAGGCGCTCATCGAGACGGACAGACGGACAGACGGACGGGCGGACGGACGGACGGACAGACAGACATGGCTATAACGACTCGGCTATTGATGCTGATCAAGAATATATATACTTTATGGGGTCGGAAAATTTTCCTTCTCTGCGTTACACACATCCACTTTTACCACAAATCTAATATACCCCTTAACTCTTTTTTGAGTACGGGTACGGGTTCCTTTTGGAAGGTTGCGGGCCCACCAGCCAATTGTGAATTGGGATCGCGATCAGGTACCAAATGTACAACCCTTTTTCGTTTGCTTTGTTCCCAATTGGCAGTTGGGCCCGCAACCTTCAAAAGGTATTTTTTGTTAAATTTTTTTAAAGTTTTTGCAAAGTTCTTTACAACCAGACGTAAGATACTAGGGTTATGTGAAAAAAACAATCGCTACCTCTGAAAAAAACTTAAAAAAAACAATACCAGTTTTCAAAAATTATTTAAAAAAAGTTCTGCCATAGAAAAAAAAAAAAAATAACATCAAACCATTTCTAAGCCCCAAATCTTTAAGAAAAAGTTCGTTTTGTTCTTTGAGGAAAAATCGTGTTGACTAATGTCATTATATCCATTATATCATATCCTGTTCTTTTTTTTTAGTTGGTTTCCAGCATCAGGAAAAGGGAAGCATATTGCAGAAATAGCTCTCACTCATTCCTTGAAACTAATTGGAAAGGTTTATTGTTTTCAGATGAATGTCTCCGGGAAACAGGTTACTATCTTATTAAAAGTATTGAGGAATTTAATACATATATATGATTTTAGATCGGACCGTCCTTCGTTTACCTAAGAATGAATTCATCCACTTTTGGACAAATCCAAGTTTTGCAAACTATAACACCAATTGAGCCTTTGCTTCAAAAAGTGATCCATCGATTTTATGGACCGCGTTGGCTAGGTCCCCTTTTAAAAGTATTTATTTATGGAGAAAGTATAATGGTAACTATTGTAGATTTAAATTATTTTTTTTAACACATTATTAATATTTTAGTTTGAACGAGATATCAATATGTGGAATCATAAAGTTTTTCGGCGAAATCCGATACTGGCTAAAGAAGACACTTCTATTAAGCAATTTCGAATATGGTATTCACAATTCTATACATCCAATAGCAAAAAATTCTCAGAAGTGACCAACGTAGGTTGGTGAACTGAACGCGAAAGGTCAATATAAAAATCCAAACAGTAAAAAACCATATTTAGACTTTTAAGAAGAAAATAAATGACAAGTTCTCTATAGTGCAGTTCGGTGCTTTCTGTGTGTTTTTGAATACAAATTCTGAGTAAACATGTTCGTACATATGTATATGTATGTACATATACTATGATGAGAATTAATGAAGGTCAGCAGCGGATGAATAAACTTAGCATAGAAATATTAATTTGCATAACATGCAAACATAACTTGTGACGCCCAGCCCGGCCCAGCGCCAAGCGTCACAATAACAACAGCATTCCGTAGTATTATTATTTCATTCCATTTAAACATTTACTTAGACATAAGAGAAACAACCTGAAGATTAATTTAATTAAAAAAGAAAAAAAACAAACAAAAACAACAAACAACATGACTTTTAAAATAGCGATCAACCAGGAACGGCCACACACAAAATATTTAAATCTACGCGCCAACAATGTGACCAGCGATCAGAACCAAACGGCCACACTCCTGCACGCTGCGAGTAGCCACGTGCGGCCCTGACGACCCTGAAGGAGGACATCAAGGACGATCCAGTTAACCATTCGAGCCATATATAAACTCTGTACGCTTAAGCTAAATAAACATAAAAACCTACTTTTGCCACCTTACCCGTGTCGCCTTCTTCTTGAACCTAGAGCCTTTCTTTCAGCTACCACATCCAGAGATCAAACAAATTTCTGTGAACCCCTGCGCGGCGAGCATACCCCGGCCAAAGCGCCGTCACAAATTATGCAAAAGCAAAAAAAAACTCTTGCATCAAACACACTTTTTTGATAATCTTATTTTTCAGTGTTTAGCTTGTATTTCGACATAACTTGAATAAGTTACACCTCCGGCTTTCGCAAATATTTGCTATGTTTTCTTCCCAAATTAAATAAAATTTTTTGAAATTTAAATATTTTAGTTAAAAATGCCATTGTTTTGGCAATCGCATTAAATGATAAAACGAAATCATTAAATAAATGAAACGAAAATGAAAAACTCGTGAATCAGGGAAATTAGGAATAAATTATTTATTTTATATATTACTTGGAGGCAAGACCTCTGCGCACTCGCTTCGCTCGAGCGCCAAGCCCCGGCTCACTTGCTTCGCTCGCTCACACAACCCACACAAATTTGCATTGATACTGAAATGGATGATAAAATACAAATTGCTCAGTAGATGCAGCCGTTTAACCAAGACTCCAAAAATCACATTTTACTGTTATATACCACTCGGTACCTTTTCCTCCGCATGGTTCCTACTTTACTCGGAATATGATCATTTTTGTACCAACCGGTATATAACGGTAAGAAAAATAATTATTATAATTAATAATAATAATATAATATAATAATTAATTATTATAATTAAATCGAGGTGGAAGGCTGAGTCGCTTCTGTTTGCCGCGAGTGTGATTTATTTACGGTTAGGCGCAAAATGTACTGCTGTACTGTCATACCCAAGCGTGGGTCTTAGCAATTAATTTCTTCATTCTGGCTATGATAATAATGCGATCTGACCCAGATTCGGAAATCTGGTAGATATGATATGATATGGGCAGTTCCTATCTGGCGTTACGTTACATTCGTACGACAAAATGTTGAAAAATGTTACATTCGGCTTGCGGCCCCAGGGATAGATAGTTCCCCTCTAAATTAATTTAGGCCTTTATCCTTTCAATATTCCTTAGTTTAATATATAATACATTCTTACAATTTCATCTCCTAAATTAAAAAAATTGCGCAGAAAATTTGAAAATTTAAGAATACTCGGAAAATGGTAGTATTGTTGTATGAAGTAGGTCTTTCCATGGCTGTCATACGCTTGCTTGATTTTTTGTATGGAAAGTGTTACATAAATCAAAAAATATATTCAGTGGTTCACAGTGCTTATATAGTACAGATGAAATAAATCTGTTTAGGCCAACTTTGCTAATTAGTTAATAATAGTTTAAAAGTGCTGAAAAAGTCCGAAAATTGTGCGGAAAATGTAGAATACATTTTTGATGTGTTTTGAAAATTGTTTTGTGTGAGTATTATTATCATTAATATATGTATACAGATTAATAAAGATGCTGCACAAGAAGAAGTTTTATTATTCGTATTATTCGACTTACTTCTCATCCATTCAACCACAATGTGCCATAGTGAAACGTGACCGGGTACAGCTAGTCACAATAATAATTTAAATCTATATATATATATATAAAAGAAAGTCGTGTCTGTTACAACACTTATAACTCGAGAACGGCTGGACCGATTGCCATGGTTTTTGATTTGTTGGATTTGTTTCCGTCCCGAATAGCAGAATACATCTTAAAAACTCGATATGCGCTATGAATAGATGCATTTCAATAGATTTTGATTTTTTTATTACAAATATCGAGTTTTCATTGATTTTCTTTCTCCATGTCAAACATTTGTTGTCCAATCCTGTCAAATAGTCAAATTCCCGAAATTAATACCTAAGATTTATTCTACAGTAAAAACATAAAATCATCGGAAAGGAACGGAATTTAGGGAATAAAAAATCAGTTTGGTGGTTTTATGCGAGTGCACATTTTAATAACAATGCCGCGTCCTAGAAGATCTAATCTTTCCCAGCGAAGCCGTAATGCAATTAGGCAACGGAATATCGCGAGTCAATTATATGATGGAGAACGAGAAATTGCACGAGAACAGCGACGTGTTATCATCATGCTTAGAAATTTAAACCAACCAAAACTGTGTAATGGAACGCGTTTGGTGATAAGAAAGCTGATGAGCAATGTTATTCACGCGTCGATACTTAAAGGAAAATTTAAAGATGAGGAAGTTCTTATTCCAAGGATTCCGATGATCCCAACGGATATGCCCTTTGAGTTTAAACGAATTCAATTCCCGATTCGTCTTGCCTTCGCCATGACGATCAACAAATCACAGGGCCAAACCTTGACTGTTTCTGGCCTCAATCTAGAAAATGCATGTTTTTCTCATGGTCAATTGTACGTGGCATGCTCACGTGTCGGCAAACCATCCGCTTTATTTGTTCTTGCGCCTGACCAAAAAACAAAGAATGTCGTTTACCACAAAGTGCTTGAATGAAAATAAAGCCTAAATTAGTTCAGCTAAAAAGTAACACGACATTTATTGACTATTAGGCGGTACGAAGTTTGCCGTGTCAGCTATTTCGTGGAAATATCAAACAATTGGAAAGATTGAATTATCTCTAAATATCCTGTGCAAGCATCAAACTCTGTGCACGAGAACAGCGCAATGACTCGAGATGTTTTGGTGGTGCAATGATTTTATTATTTGGCGATTTCCGACAAACACTACCAGTCATTCCAAGATCTACTGCTGCCGACGAAATAAACGCTTGCCTCAAAGCATCAAATCTGTGGCGATATGTAAAGAAACTTCAACTGTCTGTAAATATGAGAGTTGCTTTGTTGAACGATCTATCTGCTGATGATTTCTCGAAGCAATTGCTGACTATCGGTAATGGCCGTGTTCCTGTTGACAAATCGAGCGGTTTGATTTCATTTCCTCCAAATTTTTGCAATTTCGTATCATCAAAAGACGAGCTTATCAACAAAAAATTCCCGGATATCATTGCTAACCACAAAAATACTAAATGGTTAGGTTAGGTTAGGTTGAAGCGGCTGTCGGGATTGTCAGAGACCCGACACACCTAGGCCGGTTTCGGCCCGTTGTGATACCGCATATTACGTTCCCTTCTCCCTCGTGAGACCCTATGTTATCCATTATCCCATCCGGATGCCCTTATGAAGCCTGCGATCCGTCTGGGACTGATTGTAGACATGTCCGAAATGTCAGTTAGAAAAGGAGCGCCCAAGTATTGCAGTCTCCTTCTACTGAGAGCCGGACAGGAGCAGAACAGGTGTTCCACAGTCTCCTCCTCGTCCTCATCTCTACAGCTTCGACAGAAGTCGTTATATGGGGCGCCCAGCCTGCTTGCATGTGTGCCTATTAGCCAGTGTCCCGTGAGAGAGCGTATGACTGAGCTGCACCTACTCCTACTGAGTTTGCAAAGCTCATCGGTGCGCTTCTTATTGATGTTAGGCCATGTTTGCCGAGTTATGCGACATAGTGACACGGTTTGCCATCTGTCATTTATTAATCGCTTAAAGTGTTCTTTTATTTTGAGCTTGCAGGTGGCCATTGGCATACGAATATCCTCCTTATCATGGAGAAGGGGGATTGTTGTGCCAGCTCTGGCCAGCTCGTCCGCTATGCAGTTGCCTTCAATGTCCTGATGACCCGGGACCCATATTAGGCTGATGACGAACTGATAAGCCATCTCATGAAGAGATTTGCGACAGTTTGCCACGGTGGCCGAGCTTGATGTTATCGCATTCAGCGATTTGATCGCAGCTTGGCTATCACTATAGATATTTATATGAGTTGCCGCAGGGGCTATTTCCTGAAGACAGCTCAAAGCCTCCTTGATCGCTATGACTTCTGCTTGGAAGACACTGCAGTGATCCGGGAGCCTGAAGGACTGTCTTATGTTCAGCTGTTCGGAGTAGATTCCTCCTCCGACCTTGTTGTCCAGCTTTGAGCCATCAGTAAAGATCCGAATGGCTCCCTTTGGACCAGGTGGTCCCTCAAGCCAGATGTTTCTGTGAGGGATGATTGTCTCGAAGGGGGTATCTGTATACTCCCTCGGAACGCAGTAGTCCGTTTTTGTGGGGACGATTTTGTTTCCATTTAGGATGGACGCATGACCGGTGTGATGTGACACCCATTGGTCAGAGTCTCTAAGACGGATTGCTGCCATTTCTGCCTGCTCCTTACCTGCAAGGTCAAGGCTCTGCAAGCATAGGATAGCATTTAGCGCATCCGTTGGTGTTGTGCTGAGAGCTCCACTGATGCATAGGGCTGCAGTGCGCTGCACCTTGCCCAGTTGTTTAGTGATGGTCCCCTTCGATAGGGCTGGCCACCACACTGCGACTCCGTAGAGTAGTATTGGTCTGACTATTGCCAGGTAAATCCATTGGACTATTCTTGGGTTCATGCCCCATCTTAGCCCAATGGCTTTCTTGCAAGTGTAGAGTGCTATCGTAGCCTTCTTCACTCTGTCTTTGATGCTCAGGTTCCAGCTAAGTTTTTTGTCAATTACCAACCCTAAGTAACTGGCACTGTCGCTGAAGGAGAGCCTACATCCGTTTAGTATTGGGGGGTTGAGGGACGGGATTTTGTATTTGGTTGTGAACAATACAAGTTCCGTTTTAGAGGGATTGATTCCCAGTCCACGCGACTCTGTCCATTCTGAGAGTCGCGCGAGCTTTGCGGTCATTAGATCGCAGAGTGTTTGAGGGAATTTTCCCGAGAAAATAATGGCAACGTCGTCCGCGTATGCTACCACCTTGCAGCCCCCCCCTTCCAGGTCACACAGTATCTTATTGACTGCTATGTTCCATAGAAGGGGAGACAGGACACCACCTTGCGGGGTGCCTCTGTTGACATACCTAGACTGAGTGGACGATCCCATTGATGATGTCACTGTCCTGCATGTGAGCAATTGATCTATGAGCATCATCAAGTGACGATCCACTCCCAGGTCAGTCAGGGCCTCTGTGATGGCTCCCGGTAT